CAATTTATTGCCAGACACAGAGAGACAAATTCAATTAGAATTACCATTCCAGTCGCATTGTATCACCAATTAACACATCTAATCACTTTAGATGGACAACGGACGGTCGCAGTTGGACGAACGTTTGTCGCAATCAATGAAGAAAAGTGTCAATCGATGACACCATACCAACTGTAGAACAATAAAGAAGCAACAAAAACAATTCCCATGTGAATGAAAATGATCGCACAAAAAGGCAAACAGGCAAAGAGGCAAACAAGCAAACGCGAGCAGCGCAATCAGCCGAGCACAGTTAATAACAATTAAGAGCACAAGTCAACAATTTTCCTCAATAATTTAATAAAAATGTCAACGCAACAATTGACCGCTGCGGTATTGGCGCACACGAACTCATCTACAAGTGTACATATATTTCTACTTCTGTATGTATATGAGAGTGTGTGTAAAAGAAGGCATGAACAGACGAACAAACGCGCACGCCTTGGAAATGAAGAAGAATTGCCTGCCGCCACCAGCATTCGCCCATTCCAAACGACGGCGAGTCGAGTCGAGTCGAGTTACGTCCGTGCACGTTGTGCTTTGGTGCTCCACATCTCGCCTAAGTTAGGCGAAATCATAGGCAATTGACGTCGGTGCAATGAGATTGAACTAGACAAACGAATATTCAAACTCGTCTCGCCTGCCTTGAATGGCAACCAAGCCTAAGGATGTACATACTACGTACGAGTGTTTGGATTTCGTTGCAGAAACTGTTATGTGCGCCCGACGCTCGACGCTCGTTTGGCTCGTCCATATATGCCATAAATTGATGACATGCGACTAAATGCACTCGGCGCAATTTTTATTATTTTTTGCTTTTTTTTTTTTTTTTTTTTTTTTTTTGACTCTTTGGGGCTGCTCGGAGTGGCATCATTGCTATTCTTTTCTAATAAAGACAACATCATTGCTTGGAGCTAGAAAAACGCTCGACGTGCTATTGGCATGCATGTTCATACATATGTATGCATGTATATATATGTGCGCAGTAGTATGTGGGTGCAAGACTGTAGTCACGATCAACGTGGCTTAGGCTGCAAAACTAGATTCTTCTATACTTGATGTTTTCCTCCAGGTCTCTAATATAATTGAGCTGTCAAGTTTGTTCAAAGTGTACAAATGTACTTACTTGCGGTTGCTATTATTGAAGTTGTTAGAAAATTCCATTATCCTCGTCGGCTTAGCGCAAAAGTATTGGTGGTAGACACAGACAGAATAACGTTCGTTCCTTGAAGACTTTAGACACTTTAGATGGTACTGTTTGTCTTTTTTGACGACGACCACAGCATTTCCCACCTTCTTCCCAACTGACCGAACGACACTTCTAAAGGATCATTAAAAAATCACCACTGACCGGTAACCGAAAACCTTAAAAAAAAACAGCCCGCACTGTCCTGAACCGATCGCAGAAGTTCGCTGTTATACTAGCCCCTTACAGTTTTGCTCATGAGCTTCTATACTGTATGTACTGCTGTGTATCGTATGTAAATCCACATCCTCAAGCTCCTCATAAAAATCCATTAGCCATCAGCGTTCGGAGACGGAAGTTCTATTTGATAGAACGTCTTGATCTTTGATCCTGAACTGTTTGCTGTATAAAGTTTTAATGAAACCTGCTTCCGTCAATCAGGAAGCTCATATCTGAAAGGGAAAAATATCTACCATTCCTTTCAGCGTCTTTCGACACTAAAGCTTTAATATTGAAACATACTGGTCCTATCGTTCGTTGGACGTTAAATGTACGGAAGTAGACCTTCTCCGAGACCGAGACCGAGTCCAAGATCTCCATATCCATAAAAATTTCATGGAAGTTGCATCGGTTTCTCCCCTTCCGGAACTGATTTTTTGTACCACATCTCAGTGCTTTCCTTGAGGAATTCAGGGAATGACATTTGTGGTAAAAAAAACTGCAGGGGAAGGGTTAATTTGAGTTACCATTCCACTTTTCTTAAATCAAAATCTTGGTCGTTGCTGCTTTATGTTCCGTAGCCACCATGTTCTTTGTAAAAAAAAATTACTTTTAATTTTCATTCGCGCTGGGCGGTCTCCTGTGGCGATCTGAGGGTCCTTCTATGTGCATGCCTTTTGTTTCTTATGGATTGAAGAGTAAAACCTGGTCGTCGCTGAGATATTGTCCGTAAATTAAAGTATTATATTTCCATTTGTGGTGTGCTGCCCTGTACTCGTACCTACATATTGGGCTGAAATGATTATTCCGGGCTTCAACTTTTCTTGACCCTGGATCCCACTAAGTGCGCATGCTCAATGGTTGATGAGCTCTCATACTGTCTTCAGAGAGCGAGTCTGTACTAAATAAGGAACGCGATGAGATTCACCTCTAAATTCATAGATCTGAAGAACGGAGGTGTGGAACCCATTTATAACCCTCCGCCTGATACTAGATCCTATTTGCCTCTATATATCACGTTTAAAAGAAAGTCAGACAAGCTCCTCTCTGCTCAAAAGCGCTCGGGCAGAGGCCTCACTCAATTTTTCTGTACCAACCCTTTGTATGACAAGCTACCGCCTACAATATGTGTAAGAAAAACTCGTCTTCAGTGGAACCTCTACACAACCAATTCCTATTTACACTCTGTGCCATAATAATAAATTCAATTTTAATTTCAATGACACGCAAGAAAACATAAATTTGCACAGCAACTTCTTCATCGCCATCGCCATCGCCATCACCATTGTAATCTACGCCTTCGCTTCTTCTGCCTGCAAACTCTCTTTTTCAATTTGGCATAATTCAGCCAACAATGTCTGAATGCTTCGACAAAGTAGCGTAAGGAGCAAAGCATAACTTCAGCCGAGTGCTTTATGGCCAACAGCAGCCGACGTGAGAGAGGCAAACAAACGAGGCAATGACAAATTTTAAATATGAAGACATAACATATTTACGATATGAGCGCCAAAATGTGCTACGTACGACATAACCTACTGCAAGTATATAAATGTATGTACATATGTATTGCGATTATAAGCACAGGGAATCAGAAGCTCTAGCAGTCGTCGGCCGCGACAATGGGCAACAAGCCGAAATTATTATCAAACATGTGAATCAGCGAGTCACAAATTTTCCATGAACAAACATACCTATATACATACATGGCTCACTTAGCATATAAAATATGCATGACATACCCAGTGGGAAAAAATATTTATGAAAAAATTCGCAGGTCACAATAATAAAGAAGTTGAAATTTACCCCAACCCAACATTTATTTTGCATCGATTTAGATTCCCTTACTTCACTTCATGAAAGCGGCTCCAAAATGTCGAATCCTAGAGCAGTCGAGTGCAGAGTAATATCTCTTTCTCTACGTTATTCCCGCAGCTTCTGCGTCATCTTTCGAAAGGACATACTAAATTTTCTTAATGACGCTCTGTAAGGCAATGTCCTGTGAATAACCCAAACACCTTCGAGTTGTCCTTTTCACAGAATAAAGGCCGTTCGACCTACTACGGTTCCATTTCGGCCAAGTTGGCCGCGATTTTCTACAGAGCATGTTTTGTGCCCACCTCCACGACGCGGTCTATATGTGAGAGCATTCCCTTAGTAGCCGTTTTCAAGGAGCTAAATCCATACCAAGGCGTTTTTTTATCCTGAAGAATCTGCTTGGTCGTGCCATGCCTGGAAAGTTTGTCTACCTTGCAACACGCATCCATGTCTAGGCGATCAGAGACCTCAACGTGGCACTATTCCGTTCAGTGATCTATGACAGTCCAGTACGATTTTAGAGTTTGTTGTGTGCCAAATTGTCACTGAAGATAGTGTGTCACTTCCTGATTATTCGTTATCAATGTCTTTAACAAGCTGGTGATCCGAAAGCTTGATTCAACAAAAGATTATGCGAAAAAACACCTTCTCCTCTAAATTTTCTATCGAGTTTGAAATCATCTGTGTAAATTTCAGTGCTCCCGTCTTGGAGTATCACCTTCTCTACTGCAAATCGGTGTCAAAAAGTTGGAGCGGGATTCCAAGGTTCTTGAGGGCCTCTTTGGTTTGCAGCTCTACTGTTTTTGTTCTCTTAAATTAACGTTCGCGATTTCATCTGTTGCGTTAAGAGGAGATTATGAGGCACATAATCGTCCAACAGCTGAAGGGGTTAGTACAATTTTAAAGCAATTGGACTGTTCGGATCAGTTACTGATATTGTAAGGCCTGTTCATAATCGTTTTGCTCGTTCCACCTCAAATATCGCTACTGTAAGTGAAAGTATCGCCGAAGACCAAAAGGTGTCTATTGCTCGACATTCTCAAGGCTGGTGCCACATGCCACACCACACGAACGAATATGACTTTATGACGAGAGAAAGTTTCCTGCCAGCCGTGTCACTCTTTCTGGCGATGTCAATTGACCAACCAAATCGTACCGTTTGACACCATTTGTTCTTTTTTTGGAGCTACGCGAAAGATCTTGATTATGCAGATAAACTTTTAACTCCTGAGCACTTGAAAACCAATATTCGTGAAGGTTAGGCGGAGATACCTCTCAATATACCAAAAAGTGGTCGAAAATTACCTCAAACGGGGCAAAGTTTGCAGAGATTCGGAAGGAGGCGATTTAAATTATATAGGGTCTCACAAATAATGGCAAAGTTCGGACTTTATAATGGAAAAAGAATTTCATAAAAAAAAAAAAAATTTTGAAATACATTTTGTTAACGTTTACTTTCGAAACAGCAAAATGGATAACCATGTACTTACCTCCTTTGAATCTTATCAATGAGATTTAGGTTTGTTTTATTCACTGCTTAAGACCACTCTTTCCGATAGGTCTTTTTAAGAAAAAAAACTGTTAGAAGTCCGACCAAAGTCGCAAAGAAAGACTTTTTACATAAAAAAAATTTTAATTTACTTTATTTATTTTAATTTTAAAATAATAAAAAAAAATAAAATTTAAATCGTCTCACGCACAATTCTTAACATAATTTTCTTCTCTCTCTCTCTCATTTCAGATTTAATATGATTTAATATATTAAAAACAACAACAAAAAGTAGCAAAAATCTTACTTTCACAACTAACGCTTTTTAAAAATACACACACAACAAAAACACAAAACTACATACACACTACCCACTACAAAAGAAAAAAAATACTCATTTCAAAGCAGTCTACTTATATAAAGGACAACAATAGCATTGAATAGAAGCAGAGAAACTCCACCAACTCCAAAATGGTGCTCGTGTTGAATGGTGTCTTACAGGACGATTGTCCAATGGATACAAACAGTCTATTCTTACAACATCCGGTTTACAGAGATTATGCCCAACAACTACTATCCATACCAAGAAAATCCGTTGGTCCTGTCGGTCTGCTCTATGTGGGACAACGTGAAATGGCCGCTGCAGCGCCGCATGACAAGAATATTAACATTATTGGCGCCGATGATGCCACCACATGCATTATTGTGGTAGTGCGGCATTCAGGTGAGTAAAGAAGGGACATGCGTTTGTGCATATGTACATATATAGAGGATACCTGTGTTGTGGACAAGTCTTAGACGATGTTCATCTGCTTGTTGCCGCTCAAATTGGCTTCATATTACCAGCAGACGCACAGGAGGCAAAGTTGCTCCTCTTTTAACCTTAACAATGTCTTATACTTTATGTTCTATCTTAACATTTAGGTTTTGTAACAAAAGTCTTTCTTATGTTTGCTGCAACATTAATCCTTTGCTTCTTGCTTTTTTATTTTAATTTTTTTATTTTTTTTTTTTTTTTTTTTTTTTTTTTTTTTTTTTGTGTTGCATAGGTTCAGGCGCTGTGGCTTTGGCGCACTTTGATGGTAACGGCATTGACGAGGCTGTATGCACAATGGTCGCACGCGTACAGGAGTTGGCCTTAGGTTATCCGGAGGGTCGCATTGAATTGCAATTAATTGGTGGCTACCGAGATCCACAAGGATATGGCGAGGAGGTTTTCTATAGCATAATGCGTAAGTAAAATAAATATGCTTTTTATACATGCATACATACACACACAAGTTTTAAGTTTCATGTAAAATTTGTATCAAACTCTTGTGAGCTTAAAAAACATAATTTTTTATTAAGAAATAATATTAGAAATTACAATATTCAAAGCAGAAGCCAAACAGCGTGATCACCGTCAGGCAGAAAGGCTTTACAAGTGTGTTCGAGGCATTTTATATTTGAAAGTGTCTATCGTAAAATTTGTTGTATTGAAAAAAACCATTTCAAAATTGCAGTAAAAAATATTACTTTATTTATTTTTGGTATTTTTTGTTATTAATTTAAAGTTTTTTAATCTAATCTTTATTTTTCTCTCACTACTTTTCACCACACAGAATCATTCCATAAGCATCATCTCGAAATCGACTTAACTCAAGCCTGCGTCGGCGAGCTGAACACCATACTGCGTGGCGACATCAACTACCCGATCATATACGGGGTGGGCGTCAATATAAAAACTGGCGAAATATTTCCAGCAACATTTTTAGACCGGGGTCCAGATAGGCAATTGCGTGATGCACGCAATTTTATGGGTGCACAATCGGTAAATATTGAATTCTTTATTATATAAAAAATATACACTGGCGAGCATAATCGAGTGCATGTTCATTATATTTTTACTAAAATTGTCATAAAATGTTAAATAATTAACGAAATTCAAAAACGAATCAGCAGATATTTCTTATTATATTTGGAAGAAATGGCGACGTATTCAATAGTTTAATAAAAGCAAACATAAGACAACTCAATAAACTCGGTTTTACACGTTCCTGTGATCATAAATTTTTTTTACGGTATCCACAATTCATTGTTGTTAATTTGCTTAACCGAATTTTCTTTAAATTCACTTGAAGTTTGACAGTGTGAAAATGTTTTAATAAAAAAAAATAAAATTTTAAAATTCAAAGTATTTATATTTAAATTTTTTGAAGAAAATAAAAAATTGTAGTAAGCAAAACTTAAAAAATTTAAATAATCAAAAGTAATATTTAGAAAAAGCACATAGAAAATTGCAAAGAATTAAAAAAAAATAACTAAATAAAAATTAAAAAAAAATATTAAATTTATTTATTTGAAAAATATAAAAAATAAATTTAACTTAAAAATATTTGTAATTAAAAAATTAAAAAAGAAAATAATATAAATAACTTATAGTGATTGAAAAATAACAAGTTTAAGTTCAAAATTACTACATTAAATAAAAGCAAAGTTAAAATAAAAAATTAATTAAGCAAAATATTTTTAAATAATGCGAAATAATATTTACAAATATTTTAAAATACATATAAATATTAAAAAATAATAATAAATATTAAAAAAGGTAGTTAAAAAATATATAAATAAAAAAACGAATATATGTATTTTTAATAATTATTTGAATTGAAAATACATTTAAAAAATCAAAACCTTTTCAAAAAATCCTAAAGAAATAAGTATACAAAAATTAATTTAATAATATTTTTAATTAAAAAATTAAAAAAAGAAAAAAATGATAAAAATAAGAACTATGGAAAAATTAAAAAAAAAACTAAGCACAAAAATCGTAGGATTTGCAAACTAAAATATAATAGAAATATATAAAAAAAAATTTTTAATAGGAAAAAGTATTTTTTTGCTTCAAAATTTATTTAATTTATTTCTTAAGGAAAAATATTAATAATTGCATTTTATTTACTCATTGCTTAGCGAAATGCTTATATCGAAATGAAAATTAAAATACAATAAAAAATTATAATAATTTGAAATAAAATAAAATATATATTGATGAGTGCATAAGTTCGTGCCCGATTTCAAGTGCAAACTAAAANAATATGTATATATTTCTTTCACTAGCGCCACTCTCAAACGATTCGAACGGCATCCAGCGGAATCGGGCACGAACTTATGCACTCATCCAATATATTGCATATAAATAAAATATGTAATCAAGTTTTGTATATAAATAGATATATAAATAACTTTATTTAAAGAAAATTAGAATAACAATTGAAGAATTAAAATAAATAAACAATTTGAAACAAACAAACAAATCATATTTCCAAAATGGTTTCAAAATATTTAAAAAAATATGTATATAATAATTTAAAACCCATAATTATTAATTAGGAAATAAATTAAATAATTTAAAGATGAAATATTGAAAAAAATATTTATAATATTCTCAAAAATATAATTATATTAAAAAAAAATAAATAAAAAATTTTAATAATAAAAACATATACTTGTGAATATAATAATAATATAGAGAGAAAAATGTGTATCTCATATAAAAAATGGAAAATAAAACTTAAAATCAAAAATACATTAACAATAAAAAAATGTAAAATTTGCAAAATAATTTGAAATTTAAAAATATATATAAATAAAAATAAATTCAAAAATATTTTCAAATGAAAAAATATAAAAATTTAATATTTAAAAACCATATATAAGTAAATACATAATAATTTAGAAGAAAAATAATAAACTCGATTTAAACAAAAAAATTAAAAATTTAATAAAAAAAAATATTTTCCAGTTCGAAAAATTCAAAAGTATTTAAAGTTTATTAGAAAAATTAAAAAAATAATTTTAAAGATATATATGCAATATAAAAAATAAAATATGTTTATTTATTAAAATTAAATAATTATTTAAAATATTAAAAAAATGTGAAATTTTCATACAATTTTTTACGCTTATATTTTTTTTCTTTTTTTTTTGTGATTTCAAAACATAAATATGTACTAAATTTTCTTTTTTCTCCTACGAACTAAAACCCAATCTTTTCTCTGTTCCACAGGTCTTGGACATTTACGACTCCTCGCTGGGCATGCTACGTATCGGCCCATTCAATTATGATCCCTTACGTGGCGTTGATTTGTGGCTTTCACAAACCGATGAATTTCTATTGCAGCATCTGTCGACGAGTCCGGATGTTGAGCCGCCGCATTTCACAATGCAGGTGAGACGAATGAAATTAAATTTCTTATAAAAAAAATCATAATAATAATTTTAATATTAAATATTTTAATTCTTCTTCTTTCTTGCACTAGATACGCGCCACAATCAAATTCATACAGGATAATCAATTTCCCGCAATCACAGTTTTTCGTGACAATCGACCACGCTACTACAGACGCGACGAGTCTACGGGCTGCTGGACTTTGGTTAGATATTAATTACAAGAGAATATAATAGAAACACCTCAAACATACATACATTTGTACATGCAATACTTGTTCGCTGACTTGCATATTTGCGTATATTTATTATCTGTGCTTAATGAAGAATGCACTTAAATGTTTAATTAAGCTGAATTATTTTGCTCTTTCTTTTTGTTTTTGTTTTCTTCTTTCGTATGTATATTTATGTAAATGTTAGCATTCAGTTGCGCAGCTTTGAGTTACTTACATTACTTTTTTTTTGCCGTGTACTCTTTTATTATTGTTTTTGTATTGTGAAGTCCATTTGTTTAGCAGTTTGTTTTAAATAATTTATATTTTTTCTGAATTTATATTTTGTTATTTTTTCTTTATTGCTAAACTTTAATTAAATGTATGTATGTATATATGTATGTATGTAGCTGATGGTTGGGGTTTTTTTTTTGTTTTTGCATATTTTACTTTCCGCTCTCTTCTTGTTATGAAAATTGTATTGTTCAATAATATTTAACCAGCATTTGTTCGCCAAAAAGCGCCAACAAAAATGCATACATACAAATGTATTTGAAATTAAGAGCTTAGCATACATATATATACGATTTTAAAAATGTAGTTAAATAATGTAAAATAAATTTAAAAAGGAAATTTACTTGAACATTTCGAAAAACAAAACTTTTTTGAGTCTAAACTTTAGTATAAACATAAACTCGTTGATACATATACGAGTACTATGTGCATCCTACATATACATATGCATAGATGCATATACAATATATACACTGTATGTACGTACGTATATACATAGCAAACACTCTCTTTAGGTATTTAAGCTAGAACAATCGTATGAATTTCGTGTTGTGCAATTGCATTATTCGGCTTTTAACCCTTAAGTGCTGTTCAACTAGGTCTCTAAGACCATTAAAAATGTAGTCTTACTTTTATTGAGTGTTTGTATGACTAGCAATAATTTCGATTTTAACTTAAAAGGTTATTTTTTATAATATAATTAGTAAAAATAGAATTTATAATATAAAATGGCAGCTCTAATGGCATAAGCATTATTATATACATACATACATATATATATAATATATTAAAAGTAAATAAATAATTAATTTGACATGTTCTTAAATTTAATAGTAAACTTAAAAAAATAAATAATTAAAATTATAATTAATAGTTGATATTTTCTTTATATAAAAGTAAAAGCTTATAATAAAAAATTTTAAATCACTAAAATAATATTAAATAATAAATTTTTGCGATAATCAAAATTTTAGTTAAAAATATTTAAATATTACGGGAATGCTTTATTTTTACAATAACAAAAAAATCCTCTTAGTCCAACACTTTTCTCCTACTCAATCAATTATATTCTCTGGAATAAAAGTGATAAAATCAAAATGCTGCTACTTTGAACTAAAATAACAGTACTTAAGGGTAAAAAAAAATAAAGATATTAGACACAAAAAATATTTATGTATATTTAGCAATATCTTAGTAAAATGCAAAAATTCTAACGAATCCTTTTCATTGTTGATTAAAGCTACATTCCGGAATATTGAATTTAAAAAAAGAAAAAAATTTTTAAGGTTTTTTTCCCTCTTTAATTTCATGATATATATATACAATACATGCATATACATATGTGCATATAAAATTGAAATAAAATAGTAATAAAACAAATTAATTTACGTCTTGGTGATATGAAGTTTCGCTTGAGAATATTTAAAATAAAGTAAATTAAAAAAAATGCTTATTTTTACTTAAGTGAAATTAGATTTTTAAACTTTTGCCTTGCTGTTGTGTTCTTACACAAATATATGCATTCATTTGTGTGTATGCATAAAAATAACTATGCTTAAATATCGTAAATATATACATATATACATTTAGCTCTAAAAACGCCTTCTGTTACGTTTAAATATATAAAATTATAGTTGACTGTTTAAACGAAAAAAAAAAACATTTTTGTAAATATGTAACTATCTAGTTTAACTAATAAATACACATTTTCTCTTTTCTTTTCTTTCTTCTCTTCTACTTCTCTTCCTCTACTGCTCAATCTACTTTTTTTTTTTTTTTAATTTACAATTTTTTTTTCTTATTCTAGGTTAATGATTGAGGCAAGAAAACCTTACAACTTGCATGAAAAAAAAAAATTAAAATAAATATAATTATAAAAATAAAAACATTTTTTTTTCGCTACATATAAACAATATTATAATTAATTAAAAGAAAAAGCCTTGAAGAATATTTCAAATGAAATTAATTGTTTTAATCGAATTTTATGAAATTAGTAAAATATTTTATGAGAACACATTATGTAATATGTAGTTATATAATGGCTGATTATATTATGAAAACATATGTACATGCATATACTATATATGTACACACATTAACACCTAAAGTGGAACATGAGGAGTCTCGTGCTGCAAAAAGTTTTGAAAGTATATTCATACAAATTTTCTAAAGAATTTAAATTATTTATGCGTTTGAACGTCAGCAAGAATTATTTATATTTTGTGCACAATACCGCTATTTAGAACAAGTGCATAATTAATTGTATGTATTTAATAAAATATCGCAGTAGGATTTACTTTCATGCATCCATAAAAACATAGATATATACATATATACTTATATGCATGAAGGACACGCTATGTACATACAAGCATAAATGTATATGTACATGGGTAATGTGCATTAAATACTCATTTGTACATATATACATGCTACAAAGTATATATATATATAAATGATTGATCAATTAAAATTTAGTAGACCATTATACAAAATGTATGTAAAACACCTAATTAATTATATGGATTAAAAAATGGAAAATAAATAAAAAATATACAAAACACAAATAAGCGCTATAATGTTATTCCTACAATATTATTAATATTAAATTTCTATATTATAATTTCTTTTAAGTTTGTATTAAATTCCTTGACAACGTTGACTACTTTCATTTTTTACGTTTTATTACTATTTCTCCAGCTAAAACGGCAAACAGCGAGTAATCGAAGCGGTCTCTGAGGTTCCTAACCTCAATCTCGATTCCAGACGTTATTTTGATATTTTAAATACTGTAATATAATATGGCAGTATTCAGTTGACGATGATGAATGGAAATGGATGAATGTAAGAAACAAATCCTTTAATGCCTGCAGTACTAAGGAATCCTTCTATCTTTAGTAGTCAGTTAGTTAATTAGTTCACGGAACCCTGATCAAGCCCACTTAGGTCCTGATAAAGAGATTCCTTTCACCTTCCAAAATTTTCAAACAACTTCGTGTTTTTTTTATGAAATTCAAGAGATTAATTACGCCTAGGCTTGTTGCGGTCCTCTGTAAGGCTATCGAAGAAAAAATTTCCGAAAAAATGACATCGGACCGCACTGAGAGCTGAGCAGTGACAGATGTAGTTTTCCTCCGATTCCTTCTCTTCTATGCGGTCCGGTTCAGAAGGAGTACAGATTTAGTTCTATTTATCTCAATTAATGGCCAGTTTTGTTTTTTGTCACAATACTCGTGGTTCCGTTCTGCCAACTGCTGCTGATTCTTCTAGTGAACTCTTCGGTAGCAGCTACTTTGCCGAGGAAAGCGGTCATATGCAGAATTTACGGTACTCTCTTTGGCCAGTTAATCGGCTATGCAGTTTCCGGGATAGTCCCTGTAACCACCGATTCAAACCACGGACGTGTATCGCATACAGTCGAGAGTTTGTTTAAGACGTCTTCATTTTATTGCCACCATTGAGGTAGTATGATTGCATTGGAGTGACTTAATGGCAACCTGGCTGTTAGAATATATTACAATTTGTTGGGAAAACGAGCAACTTTGAAGCGGCTTCTGTTAAAGCGGTTAGTTCCGCTGGGATTACGCTCCAGTGGCCTAGAAGTATTTTACCTCATTTTATAGCAAGCGGTTCGGAGTAAACTTTGACTTTGACATCTAATTTAAAGCCGCCGATGAAGATGACTACGGATCGATGATCCAGCTGCATTTTCCCGCTCGCTTCTCTCTCTTTGTTAGAAAGTTTTATCGAAACAGAAAACGAAATATATGTAGTCAACCTCTTTCGTGGGTGTTTCCCACAGTAATTACATGTCAGTTATGTGCAGACTAGTCAGCGTCGGATTAAGTGCCATTGAACAGACTTTTATTTTAGTTTCAATTATTTTATTTCCTTCGGGTAAGTTGTGAGGGCAGCGATTCGGTTTAAGTAGATACATAAATTCCTGAATGTTCTACTGGCTGCGACCCAAATCAATTGCAAAATTCAAATCGGCATTTCACTGCTAGACCTCGTTCTGGCAGTTGATTTTGTTGTCATAAGCAAATATACATAGAATGTAAACATACTGTCATCAGTATTAGTGGGAAAGCAGTTTCAGCCGGATATGCATTGACTGATGTTTACTTATACATATGTACATATATATTTCGTGAGGTGAAGACTAAATTAAATCGAATGAAATAAAAAAAGATTCTCCATCGGACTTCTTTTGGCAGGGATCGACCACCGTTCCGGAATTAATAAGTTCTGTCCACCACGGATAATTTTGCTATTGTTTTGTACTTTGGATTTCGTATCTTTGGCAGGAAACTATTTTCTCCAGTGTAAGCACTCAGAGTTCTCCAAAATATTTGTAAATATTTACGAAAATCGCTAGAAAGCGTAATACGATAAGCAAAACAAAAAACCACCAAAGGGAATTGTAATGAGAAATTTACAAATACTTCGCCGCTTTCAAAGCGAATGCAGGAATTATTTACAATGCTATTTTTTGGAATACTGCCACAATCAAGAAGAAGAGGTTGATGCACTTTTTATACGGTTAATTGCACATATTTTATTCAATTTTCAATTTCTGTATTTAATTTCCCATACTTTATATATTGCTCTTTTACTTTTCATATTTACTTAAAATGAATTTGAAGCATTTTTAAAATAAATAACTATAGTAGTACTAGCAGCAAGCAGCAAAATTTTTAATATACCTTTGTTGTAATTTTTTAAACACTTTCGCAATTAAAAATCCAACATAATTTTTAATGATACCAGAAAAGGAAGGTAGTTTCATTATATTGTATTCTCTTTCTTCTTGTTCTTCGTTTTTATAGAAAAAAATGCTATGCTGTTTAAAGATAATTTTATTTCTCTTAGATTTCAGAAAATACAATGAAAACATTTTAAGTTTTTTTAGAGTATGTTTTACTCATATTTTTTTATTTGTATGCATTGAAAGGTTTTTGCATTATTTTAAATATTTAATTTTTTAATTGTAGAAAGTTGAAATTTTTTTATATTTCAATTTAATTGGTAGCCCGAAAAAGAAACAACAACAGAAGTCAAAAACTCTTTTTGTGGAACATATTAATATTTTTGAAAAAAGATTTAAGTGAACCTACGTTATTTTTTGTATCATAATATTTTCTATAAGTTTCAATGTTTGCTTGAAAAAGTTTCGAGGCATGTGGTGACATTTCAAGCCAAGGAAAGACGGCAATTAAAGAAAAAATGCCTATTTTTTAATTTTTAAAGCTGTTCCAACCAGGATGCGAACCCCTAAGTATCACTTATGCTTACATCTGATTTCTTTAGATACGGTCTCTATAAATGTAAAAGTAAGTATAATAAGCTATAGACAGCATTTGTATACATAACCCATGTAGTCTACAGGCACAAGCAACTTTGTCGTACATATTGAAATGCTACATTTCAAATTTATAATATTTTATTTGAATAAATTAGCTGCTAAGCTTCCTTGGAAATCCTCTTTAATGCAACAAGCAGAGCAATTAAGAGGATTTTGGTGGTTTTCTAAGTCATTCACAATGGCGAACTGTGCAGCTATGTGAAGCAACCCTGTTAGGCGAAGATGTGAGAATTTGAGCTTTCACATTATCAATACTCGTTTTGTTCAATTTAAAAGATAATTTGAAACAATTTATTAGTGTTAAATCACTGCTTTCCTCAAATTCAATTGCTATGTTTAATTTAGCAATTTGAATATTCTTACAAACGACGGTTATTTTGAAGTAAATCTTGGTGAAAGTCGATACCGCGATTCTTGGAATTCATAGGTGGTATCGAAAGTTTCACTGTTCATTTTGACAGTCCATTTTGAGATTCGCAGCAAGACGTGTGTGTGAGTCGGGTGGTGAATATTTATTTTGTTTTTCCATTTGTGTTTCTTGCAAAAGGTTTTCGAAAAGTGCAACGATATTAAAATAAATCGAAAGGAATTTTATTGAAATACGCTAGTGCAAAAAAGTGCTGGAAGTTCTGCAGCAAAGACGGCGTTTGCCTGCGCCAACGTGCGCTGCTATGTAGAAAGCGCTCGTCGGTGTCCACATAATCGTCATCATCACATTTAATATTGCCATAACGTGCCCATATGAAAAAGAAATTTTATAAGACTGAAAAAAGAGCCATAGGCAGCAAAATTCAATAACTTTTTAGTTTTTTATTTATAAACGCGTTTGTAATACGCGGAAAAAGTGAAACTTAGGCGGAACTTGCTTCAGTAGAAGAAAAATTGCATATATAATAAATGGATTAAATCTATTAATTCTGTGTTGAAATCCAATTGGTGATGACTAGTTTGGAGCGGAGAATCAAAAAGTAGTGACAATTGAAACGCAAAAGAAAAAAAATTCAGAGAAGAAAACGCTTGTGAAAATAGCGAAAACGACTGAGAAGACACGAATGAAGAAGCAATAGGAGGGCGTAATAAGATTTTTATACATTTTTGTGTCTTGCATTGTGAATAGGTAAGTGGGCGGAAAAAATGCAAAGTGAATCTGGGAAGACAAGACATGCTCAGTAATTGCGTATGTATTAAACTGTGATACTGCATTTCAAAAGGTTATATACTCCATAGCTTAACATCAGTTGTATAATTAATTCACCAATTTATGTATTTACTAGTTGATTAAGTTTTCTTTTAAAACCTTATGATAACTGAAATGAGTTCATGCAAAGCTCACACAAGTACATGACAACCCTGTCCGATTTGCAAATTCTTCAACGTGTCTGCATTTATTTTGGCAATACACAAATATTTGTTTTTGTTTTTGAATTCGTTGGTTTCTCTGATAAATTTCTCCATTGTTGTTGTTTTTCGTTCGCATTGTTCATAGCCTCACCCCTTTTGTCTGACCCTTTTAGAAATGGAATGTTAACAAGCTATATTGTCTCGTGGCCGTTTAACAGTTTCTGCAAATATCAGTGGAGAATTGGCAAATAACTGTTATTCTTCTAAACAATTTTTTTCATTCCATTTTCCTATGAAGTTCAAAAGGGAAAAATTTCTTCCATCATTTTGCCAATGTGGCTTTTCTGCAATTATATTCATTTATTACCACAATTCTGAATTTTCTAAAACCTGCAGATAGCAGAATTTGTAGATAAATCTTGATTTTAATGAAGCGTTGAGGTGAGAAATAGTTAGCTTTGCGTTGCATGTTGTCTCCTCGATTCATTTTTAATTGTATTTTCTTTTTATACACTTTGTTAGTGTAACTAATATTTACTTATTATATTACAGAAGCCGTATCGGAGGCTGAAAATATCGAGTGAATTATTTTTTTCATCAACTGGAAAGTGAAAAAAATTAATTTATAAAATAATTCGCATTTGTTTTAAATGCGTAAGAACTTTGTGACTATTTAATAATGAAAATAACTTTATAACGACAAAAAAAATATTAAACGAAACGACATTAATTTAAATAACAATTATCACAACGCACTAGACCAAAATCAAAAGCCTACTATAAAATAAAAAGCATTTGAATATTTAAACAATATTAATTGAAAAAAAAAAGCAATAATGAGTTCTGTATCTTCAACGGCGGCGTCTGCTCACTCAGCCGCCTCAACTACAGGCACAGACACCACCAAAAGACTATTGATCACACACGTCGATGCCTTTGGACCGTACTTGCGCATATACGGCCAAATGAATCAGGACGCAATGGCTGTAGTACGCAACAAGATCCAAGAAATGTTGCGTACCTGTCTAGCCATCGATCCGACTTGGCCGGTGCAGCGGCAGCAGTTACCGCTACGTGTTGGCAACATTTGCCTATATAAGTCCAACAAGAATAATGCACCGGGGAATTTTGAATTTTTGCGCGTACGCATACTAGACGTCTTAATTGATAGTGCACAAAATGCTACGCAAGGACAGAAACAGCTCGTCAAAGTGGAAGTGGAGTTTATCGACTACGGCGGAACGGCGCTGGTAGCCAGTTATGAGGTAAGTGCGTGCGTCAGCAAAACACAATGTGTTTTTATGTATGTAGATTCGCTTATATGCAAATGATGTGGTCATACACTCATAAATGAAGCACTACATTGTTGGTAGTTGGGCAGGTGGTGTCATATTCAAGGTATGCAAAGCATTGTATTGCAGTTGTTTATACAAGTATAAATTTTTGTCATAAGTTTTTAAGTATTAAAAATTTTAAAATTCTGTTGCTTAACAATACATAATTTTTGTTCTTAGCTCCTTTTCCCTGAGCGAACGGAAATGTTGTCCTCTTTGCCCACAATATGCGCGCCTTACATCCTTTTGGGTATTTGCAAAGATTTCAAAACAGAAGAGCTGGAGGAGATTTCACGTATTATTTTGCGTCAATCATTGGAAATATCCATTGATTATGAAGTAAGTTGACCATTACCTAACCGCTATATAAAAAGGACGTATATAAAATTGTACTTCAACATCCTTTGCAGTTTAAACAATATAAATTCATTACAATGAAATGGAAGGAATTCAATTTTGCCGAGTTTTTAATACATCAAAAGAAAATAGGTGCTCCCATCGCAAACGATTTGCTACGTGATAATTTTGCTAAATTCGTTAAGCAACAAAATCAAAAGCAACAACAACAACAGCAGCAGCAGCCAACAAAGCCAACTTTAAACGCGCCGCAGCAGCAGCAGCAAAAAACGCACCATTTAGCGGTAGCACAACAACAGCACGTACAAAAGCAGCCACTGCAGATGTACCAAGCGCCCGTCGGTAATGCAAACAACAACAATTACTATGGTATTAATCACAACAATAATGTGACACCAGTGAGTGCTATATATCCTGCTATTGGGCGTCCACTCGCTTCTCGTCTACAACAATATCAATTCCAGCAGCAACAACAACCACCATCTGCACATTTAGCCATGCCGGCGCATATGATAATGGTAATTGCTGTAAATTTAGCCTAACTATATACCTAATGATTTTCATAAATTTTCCCCAATAGAATATTCAACGTCCAATACAGCCGCGCATGCCACACACCATTGGTAACTTACGTTCGCTATATGTGCCTTATGCTGCGTCCAATTTTCAACAGCATGCGCCTTATAATAGCTTCCAGCCTAATGTTATTGTGCCAACACCAGCCACAACTTCAATCTCAAGTGTGCCCTACAGTAATGCCTACAATACCCGTTATCTGCGTCCACAACCACAGCAACAGGAATCGCCTGAGAAAGGGAGTCCAAATAGCAGCATAGTGATTACCTCACCACGTCGCGCCACCACTGCCACTTTTAAAACCAATAATTTAACTCTTGGTAAAACTTACGACGTCTACGTTAGCTTCGTGGAGAATGGTCCCTGTTTGTTTTCGGTACAGTTGGCAATGGCGCAAGAGGAGCTAACCAAAATGATGAATCGCATTGAGCGCGTACAGCTGAAACAATACTCTGATAAGCCAGTTTTGGGCACAGCTTGCATTGCACGTTACTCTGAGGATGGACAGTTGTATCGCGCATTGATTACAGGCGTGCAAACGACAGCATGCAAAGTTGTCTACATTGATTATGGCAATGCTGAGCTGGTTAAATACAATGATTTATACGAAATTCCAGATGAGTTCCTTGAGGCGAAGGCTTTCGCCATACGTTTCACACTGTCAGGACACAAACAATTGGAGCCCATCGATGAGAGTTTGAAGAAAGCGTTTAAGGATTTAATGATGTACAAGAATTGCCAATTGAAAGTGATGCCCTTGGAGGGTCCACCATTGGTGCAATATTGCGAATTATATTTACAGGTAAGCCATATTTAGATGCGGAAGAAATAAGCTTTTATTTTTTTTTAATAAATTTTTGTTTAAAACAGCGCCAAAACGTACTCGATGTGTTGAAAGAGATACAAAAATGTCGACTTGTATATCCGAAATCACAGAACTTAAATAACAATGACATTGTGGAAATTCGTTACATCGATTCGCCAAAGCATTTCTATGTGCAAAAAGTCGATAACATTGCGAAATTTGAGCAGCTTATGGATGATATGTTTTTGTATTACAATAAAAATCAGGTTGTGCCCACTCACTTGGCACTTGGTGCGCCTTGTATAGTGAAGTTTGAGAATGAGTGGTATCGCGCAGAGGTGATGCGTGCTGACTCAACAGCCACCATTGTACGTCACGTCGATTTCGGTTATGAACAGAAGGTCACCAAAAATTTGCTCAGCACCATAGCCGAGAAACATTTGAAACTGCCGCGCCAAGCCATCCAGTGCTGTCTGAAAGGATTCGAAAATAACGAGCTTAGCAAAGATTTAGCCACGAATCAATTCGAAATGCTTGCCGAAGAATCGAATCGTCAACGTCGTACCTTTACCGTCAAAGTCTTCCGTATACAGCCCGATGGCGTGCATCTGGTGAACCTTTGCACGAAAGACTTGAACGTAATGAAAAAGCTGTATAAATTATCCATGCCCTTCGAACAGTACTTAACATTAGAGAAAGAAGAGTTTAACGTACAGCCACACAACGGACAGCAGAATAGACAGAGCGGCGGACATGAGAATGGCAACAAAACTCCCTCGATTGCCTCCTCAAATGATGTTGCCTCTATGCAGTCGAGCAAGAAGGCAGCACAAATACTCAAAAGCAATGAACATATGCAACCGAAAATGCAACAACCTCAACAGCAACATCAGCAGCAGACACGAAAACAGGCGAACTCGCGCAATGCAAACAGCAAGGCAAGCAGCGTGTCCGGCAGTGTACCACCCAACAGTAGTGTGCAGGGCACACTTTCCGTGGAGTGGGATAAACACAGCTCGGCCAGCTCAATGGATAATCGGGATTCGCGTTCAAGCTCCAGTGAAATGAAACATGGTAGACGCCAGCAACAGCAGCAGCAGCAAAATCAGCGACAAGGCGGACGCGGCGCGCAACAAAACTTAAATAATAGCAACAGTAGCAGTGGCGGCGCTGAAAAACGCAGCATGAATAGTGCTGCTAGTAATGTTAGCGGCTATAATCACAAACGAACTGACGCCAATCAAATACCACCTCGTTTCCAAAAGGAAAATCGGTAAAAAAAAGATTAGTTTAAAAATAGTTTTGAAATCTATAAATACATTTATTTTCTTCTTTTTCAGACGCCAAAAGAAGGAGCAACAGGCATCAACGCCACCACGTCAACAGCGTCCACAAAATGCACCACAAGGTTACTCACAGCAACGTAATAAGACTGCCGCCGCCGCCGCATCCGCATCAAGTGCTTCCAGCAATGCTGCCTCGCAACGCGCCAGTGATGTCGCTTCTGAAGTAGGCAGCTATGCAAGTGAATTCAATGAACAAGCGCAGCAACAACAACAACCTCCAGCAGCACAAGCGCCAGATGAATATGTGCCGTTGAATCAAGCATTCCCAATACAACATTTGGATACGCCATCACGCGAAGACGTAATCATTTGCTGGTGGATTTCACCACATCAATTCTATACACATCTAAAGACACGTCTTCCCGAATTCGAGCGTTTCATGCGCGAATTACAAATGTTTTATAAAAAGAAGTCGCTTCAACAGTTGCAGTTGAAAGTGGGCTCATATGTCATAGCTCGGTATCGTAAGGAGAATCTTCTCTATCGAGCACGTATACTTGCTTGCAATCAAATGTTGCGCAAATACAAAGTGCAATTCGTCGATATTGGCAATCAGTACACTGTTACCTCGGAGGATATTTGGCAAGTGGAGAAACGTTTTGCCAGTCTGCCTGTTATGGCACATCTGTGCAGCTTCAGCGGCATAATTTCCAATTACGATCATCTCTATATAATAGATCGTATGGATAAATATTTGCCGGCGGGCGCAACATTGAATTGTGAATATATGGAGCGTGAGCAGGAGATGTATTATGTCAATGTTAAATTGAATGGCATTTCGCTGAAAGAGACTCTCAAGTCCGAGGGCATAATCACCGAAGTGGCACCGGGTGAGTGGTAGTAGACGTTTGATCAAGTTAACATAATTAACTATTTTGTTTATTTAGAATTGCGCTTGAGTTTGCTGGCAGGCCAGCAAATACGCGTTAAAATCACATATGTCAAGGATATGCTGAATTTCAAAATACAAGTGGACGGGCTCGCTGGAAACGTGCAACTTCTATGCTCTTATGACGATGTACGCTATGTAAAATCAAATCCTGACATTGCTGTCAAGTTTAAATCATTTTACGAGGGCAAATCTTGTGTGGTCAACATAAAGGATGTCAATGACAACAAAGTGTAAGTTTTTTCTTTTTCTTTTTAATTATTTAAGAAAGACAATAAATGTATTTAACACTTCTTTTGTTACAGCATTCTACTACGTCCTCTTGTACCACTGCTGAAGGATGATGTTTCAACCTTTATTTGCCAACAACCAGTTGTTTTGGAGAGTTTCGAGGCACGTGTTGTGCATGTAGCAAGTGCATATCGCGTGTTCGTGCATACCAACGCATTGGCAGATAAAATGACGGAATTGTTGAACGAAATGTATGAATACTACGAAACAAACGGTGAGTGGAGGCATTAAAGAGACATCAAGGTAACAATAACTCGCAGCAGGGCTGCTCGAAATCCTTCTCACTAACGTTGAACCCAATCTTGGTCCAACGGTCCTTTAAAGAGGAAAATGTAGACATTTGATTGGAGCAAAACCGCCCCTCTGGTACACCATGTCATATTCCCTTTAAAGGACTAGTAAACCCAGCGAACTTCGCCTCGCCTTAATTACATGCCTTTATATTACATTAAGAGTGATAATGAAATATATGTAGATAGGTCAAATCTGAGTGAACTTGATCAGCAAGCAAGAAGAAATAACAAAGACGCTTTGTCAACACGCGAATATGGGCAATTCTCCAGAAAAAACTTAAATCAAACTAGGCGGTTTCAGATGAGAAACGTTCAAGGATCCCATACGAACAATTGTCATAGCAACTCTCACGACAGACGGATCTACGCACCGGAGTTGACCCAAGGGCTGTCACCCTTTCGGCGACCTAAACCCGTTTAGGTCAAGGTAGATGACCTCGGCGACTTAGACTGATCAAACCTGTGCCTAAGCGGGGTTAGTGAACCGCTACAGCAACAACGACAACAACAACAACAATTGTCATAGCGAGCGCTATGGGATTGCTCGTCTGATACCGAATATGCACGGGCGTGCTTTCCAACAAAGCTTTTGCCTTAAGTCAAAGAATCGTTTTTATTAATAGATCCTACCCTGGTCATCTTGCGGAAGAGCAGCTTAGTCTTCCTGTAAATCTTAGCAAAAAGCCACCTATGTACCGAATTTCAAGTAAATCGAACTATAGATAAGATTTTTTCGAATAGATCAGTCCCATGTCCTCTTCCCAATTTAAAAATAATAACAACCTTCACGCAGACCTAACGAATGTACATACAAAATTTCATCAAAATCGGTCCAGCCGTTTCGGAGGAGTACATTGTGACCGGAGAATTTTTTATATTAGTTCAAGTAAAAAGTTCGTTCGGTTTTTATCTAAGAGATGGCGTTATTGTCTTTGACAGTTTTTCGATTGATTGACTCAGTAGGTTGTGAGCGGTCGTCAAAGATGGACACCAGCAAAGATAAAGTGGGTATCTAGGTTCTAGGTATCTAGGTAATTTCGATATCGAAGATGCACGTGAGCACTTATTTCATTGCTGAGGTATTAAAGGTAAGCCAGAAAACCGTTTGAAACCATTTGCATAGCCTTGGATTCAAAAAGAAGCTCGATGTTTGGGTGCCATACGAACTAACGCAAAAAAACATGATGAACCGAATTTCTATCTGTGAATCGCTGCTAAATCGCAACGAAATCGACCCGTTTCTGAAGCGGATTGTGATTGGCGATGAAAAATGGGTCACCTACGACAACATCGAGCGCAAATGGTCGTGGTCAAAGCTCGAGGAAGCGGCCCAGACGGTGGCTCAGACCGGATTGACAGCCAGGAAGGTTTTACTGTATGTTTGGCAGGATTGGCAAGGTATAATCTACTACGAGCTGCTCCTCTTTGGCCAAACGCTCAATTCGGCCCTCCACTGCCAACAACTGGACCGCTTGAAGGCCAGTTTTGATCAACCGAGGCCGAATAGTGTTCCATCAGGATAGCGCCAGACCACACACGCTTTGGTGACGCCAGGAGCTCGAATGGGATTACACAATGCTCCCAGCTCTATGTCCAGACCTGGCACCAAGTGATTACCATCTTTTCCTGTCCATGGCGAATGCGCTTAATGTTAAGAAGTTGACCTCAAGAGAGGCCTGTGAAAATTGGCTCTCTGAGTTTTTTCCCAATAGGGACGCAGCCTTCTACGAGAGGGGTATAATGAAGCTGGCATTTCGTTGGCAGCAAGTTTACAAGCAAAACGGCGCATATTTGACTTAAATCGGACAAATGTTCACAAAGTTATCATATTTTGAAAAATCAATAAAGAAAAACCGAACGAACTTTTTACTTGACGTAATATTAGATATCAATCAATATTTTCGTCCCTCCACAACCACGGCATATCCAGCGCATACAGCCATCTTACTAATTATCTCTTTTTTATTGCAATGTTACGGAAAAAATATTATCAAAATTTGCCTTCGGAGAATACGAATTTTAATCATCTCTTACGACAGGCGGGCCTTATAGCGAGTAAATTTTGAACTCCCAACCCACAGAGGTCGCTAATTATATTTGTTTTTGTTGTTTTAATCGCCATATTTTCCCCAATTGGTTTTGGGGGGAATATTTCGGGAGTCACAGTCAATCGCCGGTCGTTCCGGTATAAAAATCCCGGTCGTTCCGCTATGAAGACCCGGCTGCAACGAGGACTATGGGATTTTAGTCGCGCAGGAGTTGCTAACTCTCTCTCTCTTTATGTCCCCTTAAACCAACTCTCATTACGCCCGTCTCCCTGGATGAATGCTTTCCCGGATCTCCCTTTAGATGACTGAAATTCCTTTAATTGGCAGACAAAACTGCTAATCTGTCTGAAATTAAAATTCCTAATTCCGTAAAATCTCCAAACTTAAATTAAGTTACCAATATGCTCTAACCGGATGGAGCTATGTATGTATATAGAGTTTTTATAAAAATTTAAAAAAACAAAATCCCTCTTCTAGGCAAACCTCTGGAATCCTTAGAAACGGGTCAAATTTGTGCAGCTAAGGGCAGCGATGGAAATTGGTATCGGGCGCGCATCACACCGCAAATCACAAACGGTATTGTCGAAGTACATTATATAGACTATGGAAACACGGAAAAATTAACTGAGGATAAATTGAGAAATCTAGAAGAGAAATTCTATATAGACTGCAATTCCTACGCAATCGAATTAAACTTGCCGGTGCGCACGCTAACTGCAGATGCGCAACACAAGAGTGCAAAATCGAAGAAACCGTCAAATGTAACAGCCAATGCTGACGCGTCGGCAATGGATAAACTGAAACAGCTAACACTCGTGGGCGAGCCGGTATTGACAGTGAAGGCGCTGGAAGTGCAACGCAATCATTTGATTGCCGAGCTCATTTTGACTAGCGGTGAGAATGTCGTGGACACACTACTGAAATCACAGTTAATTAAGTCACGTGATGTTGATTTCATGCGTAAGCAATTGGAAAAGGATGATACAAATATGTATGAATATATTGAAATGGTCGACTTGACGCTCGAAGAGGAAGACGATGTGGAAAAGAAGTCGACGGGCAGGAGCAAAAATTCTGCTTCACCCAAAAAGAAGAAGCACGCCGCGAAGTCAGAGGAAAAGTCGGAGAAAACTATGAAAAAAGAGATCGCAACACCAAAAATATCTGAGTTGGAGAAGAACAAAGCGTGTGAAAATCCAATTGTTGTGCAATCACCTATTATCATAGCCGATACGCCGCCACAAACTCCAGCACAATCGTCATTAGATGTGCAGGAAAACAAAACTGTAGCTGCAACAGTACCATCAACGCCAGCGCCACCACCTGCGACACCAACACCTCCACCCACGGTCGCATCAGAACCACAATCCGTTGCTGAGTCGGAAACGGAGTCGATTGATCCATACGCCGACATGGAGCACGCTATACTGGGGCACTGCGACAACCCCGGTCAATTCTATCTACATCCCTACCATAAAATGGAGGAGCTGCATAAGCTGCAAGAGGATTTGCAAATTATCTCCAGCTCATTGCCATCGCTGATGGTCGTGGCCAATGGCGCGCTATGCATATCATATTATTCCGTCAACAAGCAGTGGTATCGCGCAAAGATCATCGACGCCGAGTTGATGGTATTGCAGTTCATCGATTATGGCAATACAGATTGCGTATCCGACACGACGCACGTGCGGGAGATGAGCTGCTGCAATGACATTGAACCCTTTTGCATGCAATGCTCGCTGCCGATCAAACCAAACGGCACTGCCGACTGGGTCGATGCCGCTAATGCGATCTTTAGCGATTCACATGGCAAAGTGGTGAGTTTCGAGTATATCACACATGGCGAGAAGAATAAGCGCAGCTTTATTAATCTACACATTGATGGCGTAAATGTGGCCGAGCGGCTGGTAGAAGACGGTTTCGCCAAACACTTGGAGTTGGTTGATTCCGGCGAGAATTGCTACATATCACATGTGAATAATATCAACGACTTTTACATACAATACGAAAAGGACTCGAAAGCATTAGAGCTGATCGAAATCTACTTGGCAGAGTATGAGAAACTCAAGAAGCTTGAAAAATTCGAACGTGACAAGATCGTGGCTGCACTATTCCCCGACGACGAGATGTGGTATCGTGCCAAATTACTGAAACAAATACCAAATCAGGGCTATGAAGTGCTATTCATCGACTACGGCAACACCTCCGTAAGTCCAGAGTGTCGTGAGATCTCCGAGGAGATAGCGAAATTGCCACCTTTGTCAAAGAAATGCGCTTTGGAATTGCCCGATCATTGTTTGGTCTGGTCCGAAGCGGCTGAGGAGAAATTCAGCGAGATTGCTGCACAAGGTGAGACCATATTCACCGTAGAGTTGCGTGAACCGGCAGTCAATTATGCCTTGGTACATCTGCTAATCGACGGTCACAATATAAACGACGATCTCGAACCGCTTTGCGAGCACAAACCCATTGAAGTCGATCTAAATATGAGCTTCAACACGACCATACAATCGTCTGTCTTCGAAAGCGGCAAAGTGTACGATGCCGTAATCTCACATGCGAATTCGCCCGCCGATTTTTACGTGCAATTCAGCAAGGACTCTGTACGGCTCGACGATATGACCAAGTGCATGAATTCGCTAGGCATGGATGCGCTTAAAGATGTCGAAGTTGGCCAATTCTGCGCGGCCGTCTACAGCGAAGACGAGGCATTATATCGTGCGCGTATACTGGAAATAACCGACGTTGAAAGCGGCGATCGGCAACAGTATCGCGTAATATTCATCGACTTCGGCAATGAAGCCAACACGGACGATGTCCGCATATTGCCGCACGACTTGCAAGCGCTGCCTGAGTTCGCCAGACACTGTCAATTGGCCGGCGTTGCCGAGGAGATTGGAGAGCAGAAAGCGCAAGTGGCCATTGATGCCTTCGGCCAGTTGGTGGACGAGTGTGAGGGTCTGGTGAAAATTGAGTTCATGGAGAGCAAGGAGGGCACCATGCCGGTACAGGTGAAACTATATGCTGCCAGTGGCGGCGAAGATTTGGGCGAACGATTGCATGCCATAATCGAGAGTATTAGCGCGAACGCCACCGCCGTGATGGGCACATCACAAATCGCCGAAAATACATGCGTCATATCACACGCCATTTCACCAACGCATTTCTACATACAACCCAAAGTGAACTCCCTAAATATGGATGTGGTGTCCAAGGCGTTAACAAAGTCAACTGTTGAGCAGCTGTCCGCTTTGCAAGTGGCTGATGTGGGTAGCGTCTGCTGCGCCTACTCCGTCGAAGATGATTGCTATTATCGCGGTCGTGTGCAAAAGGTGTTGGCCAGCGATGTTGGCTACGAGATATACCTGCTCGACTATGGCAGCACCATAACTGCCGCGAGCATATATGAGATGCCCGCTGAATTGCGCGCCATACCGGCGCTCGCATGGAAGTGCAAATTGAATGTTGTGCCCGAAGCGCCAGAAAAACTACTGAACGATTGCTTTGCAGCGCTGCTCGAATCGCATTTCGGTGAAATCTACACAATCGAATCGGACGAAATCACAGAAGAGGCAGATGAACGCGTGCACATTGTCAAGTTGCAAGCGAACTACAAAGATTTGGCTGAGGAATTGACAGAAGCGGTGTCGAAAGGTGATGCCGAAAAGGCGGTGGCAGCGCTCACTTCAGTGCCCACGCTACACAATTGCACAATCATACATGTGAACACGCCCGCATCCTTCTACATACAATTGGCCGATGATGTGCCAGCCGTGGAGAAGATCACCGATGTGCTCTTAGATGCCGAAAACGATTTTGAAGTGTATAACGATCTGTGTGTTGGCGCCATCTGCGCGGCGCAATTCCCCGACGATTTGGCCTACTATCGTGCGGAGATCGTGCGTGTGCTGGAGGAGGGTAAATGCGAGGTGCACTACATGGACTTTGGCAATAATGCAGTGACGGATCAATTCCGTGCGCTGCCACAGCATATGTTGAATGAGGGAGCGTACAGCAAACACTGCGCCTTGGATGTGAACTGGGCGAGCAATTACGATGGTTGTGCGACCTTTGCGCAGTTAATTGATTCACGTTTCTCCGAGACATTCCAGGTTGAGTTTCTGAAGACCAGTGTAGAACCGAAAATCTGTCGTCTCTTCTATCAGGACAAAGATGTGGCCAACGAGGTGCTGCAAGTGCTGAAGAGTGGCGCGTGTATGTCGAACGGCAACAATGACGTGACTGAGTAATTTTCACATTTATAGCTAAGTATTTATTTGTGTGGGCGACTTTATGTTAGTTGCACGACTGCGCAATACTGCAAGACTTATCAGCAAATTAGAGTGAGATGTGAGCCGTTACATACGCTGCTGACATGTGGAGCGCAAGCTTCGAACCGATAAGCGAAACTGAAGTTGCGTTGCTAGAAAAGCGACATTTTTGTAGCAACTCGTTGAGAGCAAAGTATACATATGGACATTTGTGTGATATACAAACATATTATAGATATTCATTTAATTTTGTTACACTTGAGAAATGCATATTTGGCGGAATGCGTATTTAATGAGTAGAAATTGAAAATGATATTAAGAAATTGTGCCAATTTTTGGGGCAGAAAATGAAATTCTAAATGTAAATGAAGTGTTAGTGGAAAATTAGATTTTTCTGGGAAAACTTTTTTTATACTAACTTTTTATAAATGGAATTAGTTGAAGCGATGTTGGTTTTTTTAATGCTTTTAATTTTCTTTCTCTTTGGAAAATCGAGAAAGCAATGAAGCTTATTTAACTCTAATTTTCAAATACGTGGAATTCTTCAATATGTAAAATGAGTAGCAGTTTTTATTTTATTTTAAGGCGATGCAAAATTTAAATATCGCAGGTTTTTAGTTTTAATTTTTTTTTTGTTTTTTTAGTTTTCTCTTTTTGATTTTTAACGAGTTTCGGTTGCAGGCAAATTATTCATAATAAATAAATAAATTGTAAAGTCCAGGAAAAGTTACGGAAAATGCTAGAGTGTGTGCTTGAGTAGTAATTGGGGGGAGGGGGCGAAAAGTGGATCTCAAGCCAAGAAAACTAAAAAAAATGAAAAAAATGTTATATGATTTTAAAACGAAAATAAAAATCTCGAAAATGAACAAAAAAATGTAAAATAATTATAAAATCATTAAAAAAAATGTGGCTAACAAGCAAAGTATATACAACAAACATACATAATGAATGCAATAAACACATATATGTACTACATACACGTGCATTATAATACTTACACACATAAATACTTATAAATACACACACAAAAATTAAATAAATTTTGAAAGAAAGAAAAAACAAAGAATAATTTGCTCAATCTATATACGAAATTCATACATACATACATATATATACCGTTGTAATATACAACAAAGCTCTGGTGAAAAGCTAAAAATTTGCGTTGCAAAAAAAAAAAAAAAAAACAAAATAATTATAATGAGATCGTTGCAATAATTATTACTAAAAGGAATCGCTTAGCGAAAATGTCTATTGCAAATGCAAACTGAATATTGTTTTAAGTTCTTACACCAAAACAATATATTATGTAACCCAGCAAGCAACAAACAACACGTCCATTTGTTTGCCGGTTTTTTTTTATTTTTTATTTTTTTTTTATTTTTTATTTTTTTTTTTTTTAAAAAGAGCGAAAAGCATAAAAATCTTCCACTGCATTTTCTTATTTAATTTTAATTTTAATTTCTCGCTTTAAACTTTACGCAGCTAGCAATATATATATTATACATATACATATTTATGTGCACGAAGACTGCTTGCTTGTTCTTCTTATTCAACAATTTTACATGCAACAAAAAAGTGAATTATGTATTTTATTTTTTTTTGTTTTTTTTTTTTTTAATTTTAAAATTTTCCACACCCAAAAACAAAATTGAATTATATATTTTTAATTGTTTGGTGAGCAAAGAAAAATTATTCTAAATTATTTGATTAACTTTTTTTCGGTCTGAATAAAATTCCTTAAAAAATCTATTGTAAAAATTAAAATCAAAAAATACACACAAACACAAACGAGTATCCCTTATTTTTATGTGTACTCCTCTTATATCTCTCACTAAAGACAGCAATTGACCATTTTTTTACACCTTCAAACTTTTAATACATTAATTTAATTTAATTATAACAGTTGCGTGACTTGAAATTATAAAAAAAAAAATTATATACAAACTCAGCGGAAAAAAAAATAAAAAAATGTATGAAAAAATTTATTTAAAAAAATTTAAAAAAGAATTAAAAACCAATAAAAAAACGATTATACTAAAAACGAAAAGAATTATTGGTGTTTTATTCATTTGTCTGTGGTGCGTAAGGGTCTCATTCGATTCTCCCAGCCGGCAAGCTAATTTTTATTTAATCTTTTTTTTTTTTGTTTTAATATTTTTTTTATTTTAATTTTTTTTTATTTTAATTTTTTTTTTTTTTTTTATTTAATTNAAATGGATTGCTTCATGGATAGCGTCAAAAGAAGACTCCTTTTTTTCGAGCCGGGATCCGAAAATTGCCGGAAAGATGAGAGAAAGTTGTCGCTAGCGAAGGACAATACTTTGAATAATATATCTGTAAGCACTTTTTCGCAATAAAGCTTTTAATTTTGGAAAAAAAACGGCGGAAGCAAAGTATGTGTAAAATCTTAAACTAGTTGGATTCTAGTTTATAACTAATATTTTCCCCTGCTTGGTACAAATACACGTTCTTAGTTCCGCTGAGCCAACGAAAAGGTCAAACTCCGAAATGATTCCTAAGTAAGCCGATTCATAGTTTACAGTCAAGTAATTACGAAGAGAACTATTGGCTGCAAGGCAATTAACTTCAGAGCCGTATCGGAAGATGTATCTAAACACCGGAACGAAGCATATGCATGTACGAGGTGTGACAATTAAGTAATGAGACTGATTCCAAAAAAAAACTGTATATCTCAAAATTATTCTACACTCTGCCAACCCCTTCAAAGTGGTCCCCTTGGACAGCTAAACAACGATTCCAGCAGTTTTTTCATGCTTCGTATTAATTTTGGAACGCTTCGACTGCGACGTCCGCGTGTACTCTCGTCCCGGCCGCCTGGATGTCCTCAATCGACTCAAAATGGGTTTCTTTGACCAACGATTTTATTCCAGGGAACAAAAAAGTCAAAGGGTAATATCGGGCGAATAAGAGGCCAAATACTGGCACGCGCTGAGAGCGGTGTAGCACGACGCGTTGCCGTAATGAAGGATCCAGTTACGAGCGATGTCTGGGCGCACCCTGCTGACTCGTTTTCGCAAACTTTCGAGTACTTGGCGATATTAGACTTTATTCACAATTTGGCCCGGTGGAAGAAATTCTTTGTGGACGTTTTCACGGCTATCAAAAAAGGCAATAATCATAGACTGGTCTACCGCTTCGCGAATCATTTTCTTCCTTAAACTCTTTATGCCATCGACTAAGAGCACTATCACTATCGCCATGCACTTTTACAATTTCAGCGCGCAATTTCCGAAGCTGTTTCGCCCAATTTGGCGCAAAATTTTATCGTAACGCGTTGCACTTGATTACGTTTTTCCATTTTCGTGACGAGTACCACGAACTAAACAAGCGCTATTTTAATGGCGAATCTATCAATGGAGAGCAGAATGATGCCGGCAGAAGGGAAAGGGAATTTTAAATTCGCAGGGTTACCACAATCGTGGCAATATAATCAGTCTCTTTACTTACTTATCACATCTCGTATGCACACGTATGTATGTGTGTTACAAAAATTATTTTCCAAATTTGGCGGCAGCGAGCTAAGCTGGATATATCTTTTAGTTTACACTGAGCTGATCTTATTGTTTACATGAATGTTTATAATTGTAGATGTGTGAGTATACTCGTATATGCCATGAGATGCATACACGCGCAGGCGTAACTGTGTTGTGCTATCTAGTACACGGAAATAAATGCATGTCCACATGGCAGATATGCGCATCCAGGCCACTTACGAGTATGTATGAAGATATGTACTTGAGTTCATGTGAAATTGTTTATAAAGGATGTAAGTGTGTGCATGCGAGTACATAGCATTTAGGTGTGAAAAATATATGTATGTATAACAAACAAAACAGAAATATATATGTGCATTACTTGTTGGTAGAAGAACATTTTGAAAGCAAAAGGCGCTTTCAAAAATATTTTAAAATATCTCACTCAGTACAAATTAACATTAAATATCACAGAAGCATTTAGTATACGAACTCATGACCGACTGCATGACAGTACGTATTGTTAGCTACTCGGCCGCCAACTAAAGTATCTGGTCCCATCTAAGAGGGTCGTTTTGACCCCTGATGCAACAATTCCATCAGAAAACAATTTCGAAAGATCGTTAGAGGGTTAAAATTTCCAGAAAATTATTATTTTTTAACAAAATCTGTACGCGTAGAACCTTAAAGCCCTTAGTTAATAAAGGCCAAAAAAAAACTCCCAGAAATATGCAACACTTTTTTTTTGTTAAATAAAAAACTTCAACGATACTTTCGGTGATATGTGGTTTTGCTTTGACAGAAGATCACATGACAGAACCTTCCGATGTAAAAAATATTCATACATATATACGTGAATCCATGCAATTGGAAAAAAATTAAATTTAGAAATTGCATATTTTTTGCTAAGATTTTTTAGAAAGAAGACGTTTCTTGAACATATAGCTATAATACGAAATAACAACAAAATACCATTTAAATTGTCTAGAAAAATAATGCCAAAAAATAGTTATATCAAAAAGTGCTGTGGTCCAAAAAGTATTTTCGAACGCATTAGCCGCAAGGAGCCACTCTTTTCAACACAAGCAGTTTTCCGGCATGGAGTGGCGTCATTCGTGGAAATATATTAAAAAATGGACTAATATTTTTTACATGTTCTATATATAGTTCTCCGTACAATGACCTACCGATGTTTATTCTGATCAAAAAAACGAATTTTGGCAGGCCAAAAACGACCAAAATTTTGGATAAAATTCGACTATTTTTTTTTTTAAATGAGCCATATTGTCAATTTTTGATGTTTTTTTATCTTAGGTCATAATATTGTACAGACAATCATATCTAGTTTAACGAGAATTTTTTCGGAGAAGGCCGGAATCACTGCAGCAGTGAAGGACCTTTTTTCGCGCAATTGGAGATCGACTATAACTTAAAAAATATTTAATTTTTTTCTTCAAAAATTTCACTGTCTATTCTTGAAACATGTATAAATATATTCTTAAAATTTTGAAATAATTGATAGTGTTTTTTTTTTAATAAAAATTCTCAAAAATTACCTTTTTTTAGGCCATTACACTAGTTGTGCCCCTTAAGTACTTCAGGCCGCGAACTTAACAGTTCCCCTAGTACATATTTTCTAAAATTTCGTAAAATAAATATGGTATTTTTTGAACTATTTTTCTATACGATATTCACTAATTTTTAATAAAATGTTGTATAAAAGTTTTTTGAAAAAGTTTCTAAAAAAAATTTAACAACTGAAAACCCAAAAGGTTAGAATTTTGAATATTCATGTATATATTCCTACTTATCTGTCATTTTCTAAATTAAAAAGTTTCACAACACTGAAAAAAATCTACACAAAAAACAAAAACAAATCAAGAATGCAAGTTTTCCGAAATACGTACTTCGAAATTCATTGGCGTGAGCTGGTATCTTTATATACATTAAGACCAAAAGTTTCCGAAAATTGTTTTTTTTTTTTTCGATATTTGCGGTCCGATTTATCATGAATTCGTTCCAATGGGACAGACAGTCAATAAATAGTATTATTTCAACATTTTGACGCGTTTTCCCGAAACCATCCGTCATAAGCGACCGGAATTGTGGACCAACAATTACCGGAAACTTTCGTAACGATAATGCGCCATCGCAACGAGCTGCAGTTGTGAACGAGTTTTAGACCCAAAAACTCGTACAATACCATCGAACAATCCCCGTATTCAACGGCTTTAGCTCCATGCGATTTTTTTGTTTTCAAAACTCAAATTACCACTCCGTGGAACCCGTTTCGACTCTATTGCGGCCGTAAAAGAAAATTCGCAGGGGGAACTGAATTGGACTGATTTCAAAAGCTGCTGAAAAGAAACTGGATCAATA